TTGTTGTAAGGATTAAATGAAATAATCTATTGATACATAGAGTATTTGGCATCATACCTGGCCCAGAGTAAACATTCTATAAATCAGAGGTCACAAAAATTGGAAGTGTGTTTTCAAATAATTCAATTAATTATCTCTATTGGGCTCAATTCCCAACTGCCAACTGGGAAATTACATGTAAAAAAGTAATCTAGGGCTTCCCTGGTGGCGCAGTGGTTGAGAGTCCGCCTGCCAAGGCAGGGGATGCGGGTTCGTGCCCCAGTTTGGGAAGATCCCACATGCCGCGGAGCGGCTGGGCCCGTGAGCCATGGCCGCTGAGCCTGCGCGTCCGGAGCCTGTGCTCCGCGGCGGGAGAGGCCACAACAGTGAGAGGCCCGCATACCGCAAAAAAAAAAAAAAAAAAAAAAAAGTAATCTAGACTTACATCTTCTCTTGAAAAATCAGATCTGGCAACACTGGGCCATCATTTCTACATGGCAACAATGGATAGAGCTAGGGGGCAGTATATCACTGTGTAAATAATAGAAAATCTGACCACCAGGGTTTAAACAAGGGATTCGTTTTTCTCATGCAGCAAGATGAGATGTCCAGGATTCAGAAGTCTGAGGCTGGCCCTGAGGCTGAGCAATGCCATCAGGAACCTAGGCTCCTCTGGCTGGCTGCTCTGCCATCTTTAGCATGTGGTGTTTTGTCCTCATGATCTCAAGATGGCTGCTGCACATCCAGCTAGAGCATATGTGTTTCAGACAAGAAAAGAGGGTGGAGGACGGAGAGGGGCAAAGGACAAAATCTCTTCAGGCAAAGCTGTCCTTGCATATGAGAAAGGAAGACTCTCCAGGGACTTCCACTAACATCTTAAAGGTTGGAAGTGAGTTGTATCAGCCACACCTTGCTGCAAGTGTGGCTGGGAAATGGAACATGCATTACTGCCTCTACTATCAAGAAGGAAGGCAGTTGAAAATGTGTTGTAGAACTCAAGCTAGAGTATCTCAGTTCAGAATACACCCTTCCCAGTCTGGTTTATCATTTACCCGCCCTCCATGTCCCCCGTATCTGTATTTGTGTCTGCAATGCCTGCCATATATGTTATTCTCAGCCGAGTCAGGGCATAGGTTTTGGAGTATGTTCTGGCCTTAGCCTTTCTAGGCTCACGGCAGAACTGAACATCCAAGGCCCCACCCTCCTCAGCTACTTTGCCCCATGCTTCATCTTTAGTTTCTCCTCTGGGGCAGGGTGATATACAATATGCTCAAAGAAGCAAGGGAAAGTTTTTGGCTGACCTCTTCAAAGTAGCTCTGACCGTACTGACCATATTCTTGCTGTGGCCTTGGCTGAAACTGAGAAAATATTATTTCCCCTCTACTCCGTTTGTCCTATTTTTCCTTTTGATGGACTTTGATAGTTTCATACCATTTTTCAAGGCAGGCTATTGAAGTTCCAGGAGGTGACCTCTATTTACTACAATAAAATTAATGATTTATAGAAAGTCAAAATTCCACAATCCCCCAAACTCTCCTTTTATCCCTAACTACTATGTCAACAAACCACCCAGCATCCAGCATGGTTCAAAGGTCTGAATTGTGTAGCAAAATAAATCATTTTTTAAATCCCAATAGTAATGTATGGTGGGAGCATTCTTAACTTGAATTGAGTAAGGGGGAACAGAGCAGATGCAGCCAACCTTGGCTGTAGTATATTACTCAAGTTGATGTGGGCCTGAGGAGATTGGATATTTAATGTCAATGATACCATGGGGGGGGGGTGAAAAAATTCGAAGTTCCACTAGAAAATAAGAAGGTAAAATTTAGGTCCCATAAGCTCTGGCCTATTTTTTCTTTCCTTCCCCTCCCCTGCTGTCATTCCCCCTGGTTTATCTTTTTTTTTTTTTTTTGCGGTACGCGGGCCTCTCACTGCTGTGGCCTCTCCCGTTGCGGAGCACAGGCTCCGCGGCCATGGCTCTCGGGACCAGCCGCTCCGCGGCATGTGGGATCTTCCCGGACCGGGGAACGAACCCGTGTCCCCTGCATCGGCAGGCAGACTCTCAACCACTGGGCCACCAGGGAAGCCCCGCCCTGGTTTCTTACCATCCTCCTCCTCACTCTCTCTCCCTTCCTGCCCGCTGGTCTATTTCTATGTCCTCTGTTAAATGTCTAGCGAGTTTTTCACTAGGGCCCTAATCTAGGTCCAGTGTTGACATTCCAATATATGCAGGACTCTGGTCCCAACCTCGCTTATTCCGAGGCACTTGATGCCGTGCTTTACATCACAATGTTCCAACCTAAATCTCTGGAGTGTGCAGAGCTGCCCAGAGCCCGTGCAGAGTTTGCTTCGTTTGGGCAAATCTGCACACTCAAGGTGGCGTCCACTCCAGAAGGCTCAGGAATCGTGGAGAGAAAAGGTGTGTCTGTAGGTAGTGGAGTAGCCTGAGGCGTCTGGCTGCCCAGTAACATCCACTCACTACAGTTCAACAGGTTTGTTTTCAGCTCCTACCATATTCAAACACAGCGCGAAATGCTGGGGATGCAAAAATCCAAAAGACGTGATCCTGCCCTCAAGAAGCCCACCGTCTAGAGGAGGTAGCTGACCCCAAGAGAAATAACTTACTACACTAGAAAAGCTCTGAATTCCCCTAGTGCATTGCTTTTCACACTTTAACATGCACGCGGATCCCCTGTGGTTCTTGTGAAAATGTCGATGTGGATTCAGTGGACCTGGGAGGGACCTGGGATTCTGCCAGTCCAACAGGCTGAGGCCCACCCTGTTGTTGCTAGCAAGGTCCTAGGGCTGGGTGTTAGCCGTGAAGAGGAAGCCTAGAGGGGCCCTGGCTGCGAAAGGCCCCAGGCAGCAACCAGAGGCTGCTTCTTCCACACTTCAGGAGCGTGTGGCTTCCGCTCTGGAAGTATGAACAGCAGCCTAAACAGAGCTTTTCCAGGCTTAGCCCATCCAACTAAGGCCATGTATCACTAGGTTGCCACAAACCAACGGGACATTTTTCGACCACGGGCTGAGTGATGGGGTAGTTTCAGGAGGTAAATATTTGAAAGGGAAGCAGCAAACAATTGTTTAGCACTCGTGTTCTTTTTTTTTTTTTTTTTGCAGTACGCGGGCCTCTCACTGCCGCGGCCTCTCCCGCTGAGGAGCACAGGCTCCGGACGCGCAGACTCAGCGGCCATGGCTCACGCCTGTGGGATCCTGCCGGACCGGGGCACGAACCCACGTCCCCTGCCTCGGCAGGCGGACTCTCAACCACTGCGCCACCAGGGAAGCCCACTCATGTTCTTCTTGCGACAGCCTTCATTTCTCTTTTCTGTCTTCACTGGGAAAAGGATTTTCTCAATGCACTGCAAATGCTGCAGCTCCCATAGCCCCTCCCCACATAAAGGTGACTGTACTTGTCAGAATTCCTATGACACGCCACACACAGTACCTGTGCTCCGTACCCGCTTTAACAATCTTGAGCTGAAAACAATGGAAGTTGTATTCTGGTTTTGCTTTTTAAAGCCTGAAGCCAGATGCTAGGATCTATTCTGTACTTCCGAATCTCGACTTAGAAAACTTTTCCTTCTCCTTTCTTACAAAGGATTGCGTCAAGAATACACTATGTGGAAAACAAGCACTATTTACAATAGCCAGGACCATAGAAGCATCGACAGATGAATGGATAAAGAAGATGTGGCACATATATACAATGGAATATTACTCAGCCATAAAAGGAGACGAAATTGAGTTATTTGTAGTGAGGTGGATGGACCTAGAGTCTGTCATACAGAGTGAAGTAAGTCAGAAAGAGAAAAACAAATACCGTATGCTAACACATATATATGGGATCTAAAAAAAAATAGTACTGATGAACCTAGTGGCAGGGCAAGAATAAATACGCAGACATAGAGAATGGACTTGAGGACATGGGGAGCAGGAGGGGGAAGCTGGGGCGAAGTGAGAGAGTGGCATGGACATATATATACTACCATATGTAAAATAGATAGCTAGTGGGAAGCAGCAGCATAGCACAGGGAGATCAGCTCCGTGATTTGTGACCATCTAGAGGGGTGGGATAGGGAGGGTGGGAGGGAGGGAATATGGGGATATATGTATGTATATGGCTGATTCACTTTGTTGTACAACAGAAACTAACACAGTACTGTGAAGCAATTATACTCCAATAAAGATCTATTAAAAAATAATAATAGGGCTTCCCTGGTGGCACAGTGGTTGAGAGTCTGCCTGCCAATGCAGGGGACACGGGTTCGTGCCCCAGTCTGGGAAGATCCCACATGCTGCGGAGTGGCTGGGCCTGTGAGCCATGGCTGCTGAGCCTGCGCGTCCGGAGCCTGCGCTCCGCAACGGAAGAGGCCACAGCAGTGAGAGGCCCGTGTAACGAAAAATAATAATAATAATAATAATAATAGTATCTGCCCCTCATTTAAAAAAAAAAGAAAAAAGAAATCAGTGCATTTCCAGGCCATGAGACTCCAGATGTGTGCTACTGTATCAGCCCATGGCTACTGCTGTGTAACAAAAAACCACAAGCCCTCATACGCAATATACTTATTGTTCATGCATCTGGAGGTCAGCTAGTTGTCCTGACTGGGCAACTGGGGTGACTGGGCTCTGCTCTGTGTGTCCTATCTCCCAACAGGCTCTCCCAGGCCTGTTTTCACCACAGTGGTGGAAGGTGCAAGAATGCAAGCAGAGAGATACAGTGACTTTTTTCAAGCCAATGTCTGCATTATGTCTGCTAAAATCCCTCTGTCAAAGGAAGTCACACGGCTGGGCCAGAATCAGAGTGGAAGGGGGCTCTGCAGGGTTACATGGGGAGGGCATGGTTACAGGGAAGGGAGAAAAACAGGGGCTATGAATGCAATCCATCTAGCACAGTCTTCACATGTAACAGTAACTTTCCAATTCATAGTTACACTGATCCAACCATCTACTCTTCTCTGCTCTAGGAAAGACAGAACAGCTGCAGAAAGTCCAGGGAAAACAAAGGCATCTGAGAGGAGGGAGAGCAACCAAGTATTTACTGACAATGCTCTATTCATAATCCACATTTAATTCACATTCAAAAGGATGTATTGACAATCTGCCAGGTTTTAATAGCTCCACCTTTAAGTGGCATCTCTGCAGCAGTAGAAATATCAAGCTTCCTGCCTCTTTGAGAAGCAAGGGCCTGGGCTCGCAAGGTAAACAAAGGGTAATGAAACAGCAAATGGCAGGGTGTCAAGTTGTTGGAAGGTGTCTAGCAGGATGCCACGGAAAAACGGTTTCATTCTGGTCTCACTTAACGTCTTCATTAATGATCTGGAAGAGGGAGTAAACAGCACATTAATTATAATCACAAGTGATGCTAAATTGGGATTTGTTGCCTCCACCAAAGGAAGGGACTCTGAAAGACCAGGCAGGAGATGGATCCAGCTTGGAAAAGGTGAACAGCATCTAGGAAAACATCACTGCACGTGGCAGGGGACGGAACAAGTCATTTGGAAGCAATGAGGTTAAAAGCCAAAGAAGCTGCCTGAAATCTTTTCTGGGACAACCTAGGGTATTCACACATAAACCAAAGACGTGGCATCAGGAAATTAGAGACAAGCAAGCTGGAGCAGGAGAGGGGAGAAAGACAACACAATTTGAATGATAAACTAGGGAGCTTGAAAATTTCCCCTTCACAGCTTCTTTCTCCTACTGGCATAGTAGCTCCCAAGGGCAGGGATTCGTGTTGATTTGTTTTCTGCTATATCTCCAGCACCTGGAATTATGCCTGGGACATACAAGGCACTTAATAAACATATGTTGAATGAATGAATGAGGAATGGAGTGTAACTCCTGAAGAAAGAATCAAAAGAGGCTTTCTCTCCATAAGGCACAAACCAGTCAAAGATGGGTTTAAAAGAAAAACAAACAAACAAAACAAACACTGGGGATTGGGAGGAAATGAACAAAGTGGAAATAAATAAAGGTCCCTAGAGAACTGAGACCCTCTTGGCTTTATCATACAGTGCTAATAGTAGTCGCAGTAGTAATAGCTGTAATAGTGGTGATAAGTATCTTCACTGTTCTAAGTGCTTTGCATGAATTATCTTGTTGAATCATCACAGAACACGGAGGCATGTTCTATCATTGCCCCCATTTTATACATGACGTATAGAAAGACTAAGTAACTTTTCCACGGTCCACAGTGAGAGTGGTGGGATTTAAGTTGATGCAACCATATCCCGTGTTTTTTACTACTATATTACATTGCCTACCACACTGGCTTAAGGGAAAGGGGAGAGGTGGGAGGGAGAGAGGGAGGGCTAAAGGGAAGGGGAAGGAGAGGAAGAAAACCAAAAGGAAAAGTAAACAGAGTCAAAATAGGGCAGATGATTCTTCCCCACCTCCCATCAGGGAACCAAGCTCAGTGTGAGCATGAGACTGAAAACTTAATGCAGCTCTTCTCCCTGTAAGTGTTTCATGGTCTCTGCCCTAAATATCATCTAGTATTTAAAGACACGTTTTTTTTTGGTACAAAATACCCCTTAATTCTAAACTGAGTACTTGATCTGGTGCTCAATTGAAGAAACCATCTGTAGTTTTCCTTTATTTTCTTCTTTACTCTTCCATTTCTCAGCTCTCTTCAAGAAAGTAAAAAGTCTGGAAGTTTATGTTTTACACATGTACTCATTATTTTTCTGTACATTATTCCTTATTTTCTTCACATTACTGCATGCCTCTGTCATTTGTACATATCAAGAGTTGAGGATGTAAAACCATATACACTGTACTTTATAGGTGATTTAAGGGACTTCCAAGGGTCATTATTTACAGGAATTGGTTTTTGTCCTACACTTTGACCTTAAAACAAAACCCCTTTGTCCTGTCCTCCTTTGAAACCACTCTACATTGCTTAATGTTTTTGCTCATGGTTCTAATTTTTAAATGATTGTCTTTGTTTTGTCTGATGTTTATTATGTGAATACTTGCAGGTCATAAATTTGTCTTCTGTAATCACCAGCATCTATAGAGGCAACATGGTCTGAGGTGGGACAGATTGACGCTAAGGCAGAGACAAACCGTGATTGGAGATGGAATCCTGAAACAGCAAGAAACTGGGTCCAGCCCTCAAGGGACTCAAGGGTGTTCTAGTTCCTGAATTTTGTCCTCTGCTTCTAGAGTTTTATTCCCTAAATTTCTTCCTTCCTTCCTTCCTCTCTTCCTTCCTTCCTTCCTTCCTTCCTTCCTTCCCTTTTTTGGTTGTTCAATTTGAGTTTCTGTCTCTTACAAACAATTCCTTAATAATGCAATGACCTGGGCTTCCCTGGTGGCACAGTGGTTAAGAATCCACCTGCCAATGCAGGAGACATGGGTTCAAGCCCTGGTCCGCAAAAATCCCACATGCTGCGGAGCAACTAAGCCTGTGCGCCACAACTACTAAGCCTGCACTCTAAAGCCCGCGAGCCACAACTACTGAAGCCCAAATGCCTAGAGCCCACACTCCGCAACAAGAGAAGCCACTGCAATGAGAAGCCTGCTCACCGCAGCGAAGAGTAGCCCCCCCTCACCACAACTAGAGAAAAGCCCACTCGAAGACCCAATGCAGCCATAAATAAATAAATAAATAAAAATAATGCAATGACCTTAGGGTCTGTCTAATTTTAAAAGTCTATGCTTTGATTCTGGGATTCTAATATTAACATTGATTGGAGGGGTCAATTTAGTGCTCTAAATTGTGCTCTGGGGGACAATGGGAAACCGTTGTTCCAGATAATTCTCATGCTGTGTTCATCTAGAGAGAACTAAGAATTCACTCTAAGTTTGATGCCCAAGCAGTGATAAATATTCCAGCGAGAAGAATTCCTAAGGCTGATCAAAGGTGGTATAAAATGTTGCTCTCTCAAAATAAAGATGACAATAGAAAAGCATTTTCCAAAGTGTGTTTCTGTTAGAATAGGGTGACCATATAATTTACTCTCCAAACTGGTACACTTTGGGGAATTAAAGTAGATGCCTTTAGCAATTATGCAAGGACAGCAGGTGTAAAATATGACTGGTCACCCTATGTAAAATATGTCTCAACAAAGGGGGTTCCTTGACCTCAAAATTTTGGGAAGTCTGCATACTATATAGTTTCTTCTTGAGAATCACAACACCCATACTATTAAAAGCTCTGAGTCCTATAGTAAAGAAACCCACTAAATGTCATCTAAACCAGCATTTCCCAACTGACTTGATTATGAAATCTTTATTTTCAATAATACCTTCTACCATCCTAGGGACTCAGTGTTCCATAGAGCATACTTCAGAATATGTTGACCTTGAACATGTCTTATTCAATTATAGTGTAACCTGCTATCTCCTGAATCTATAGGACACCAAAACAAAAATACCTTCCCACCAAGCTCCTATTTGCCTGAAATTTCTACCATTATTTCCTCCTTTAAGGACCTTTTAAAGGATATGCACATTGTAATGGGGTTAGGCATTATGTCATCTGGAGAGAATAACTCATTAGCTAGCTAAACATTAGTGATAATTAGGTTATCTGAATAGCCACTTACCACGCATAGATTCTGAGCGAACGGGTCCCCCAGGAATTGTCTTCAAGGGAGGAATGGGAAAAAAAGGGTCTGGATCGGAGGACACTGGCCTGTGCAGTATTTTAGTGGAGGGTTTGGTATTAATATGGTTCCCAACCTTTACTCCACCAAAGCTCACTTCTCTTTACTGGCTCCCCCATATCCCTAGTTTTAAAAGATGTTGCCTCCCAAATAAACTGAACTTACTCAACTGTAGCATTTGTAACTTTATTGTCATGTTTCCCCTGCCCTTTACTTTCTTACTTCTGAGAAAGCTCCTTCCCAACTTCAACCATGAAGTTCTAGAAAGGGCTTCTCTGGTCTTTTAAAAATCCCACCTCTCTGGAACTACTGACTAGTCTAGGGTGAGCCTCCTGGCCAAGCTGGGCCAATCAGGGAGCTTTCCTGGGATTGTTGACATTTGGATCAGAAGGGACAAGTCTCAGTCCCCCTTGGGCTATCAAAGCTGTTGGATGTAGGTGTGGGAGAAGCCAGTTTCCAACCATACGGAAGAAGCTGGTCTTAGACCAGGGTTTCCCAACAACTATTGACAGTTTGAGTCAGATAATCCTTGGTTTTAGGGGGGCTATTCTGTGCATTGTAGAATGTATAGCAGCATCTTGGCCTCTACCCACTAGATGCCAGTAGCATCTCCCCCCAGATATTGCCAAATGTCCCCTGGAGGGTAAAGTCACTCTTCACCATTGGTCAAACCGATCTAGAGAATGAAGCCCGTATTCAGAGAAGAGCACAGGTGAGAGCTAGGAAAATTTGAGAATGTCTTGGTGACATTTAAGGCACTGGTCCCAGTGGTCCCTGAGGCTCAGCACACCCCAGTTCTTCCTGTGGATTGATTTCATGAGCTAATTAATTCCACTTTTTTTCCCCCTAAGCTGGCTCAAGTTGAATTTCTCTAGTTGCACACAAGGGTGCTGTGTTCATCTATAATTTCCATTTGGATTTTTGACAAACTGAAAATAGCTCACTTCCTTGCTCTCTTCCTCCTGTCTCCCCCCACACCAGGTTCACGATTACATTCAAAGACCCCAAGAGTCAGGGTTCCCCTAACCCTGTCCTAGACTGAGAGCTTTGATGCATGAATGAGGACAGAGGTAGTAAAAGTGAACCCTAAGCTGGATCTAATATGCATCAAAAGAAACTAAAACAGTTTCTTTTCCTTTCTTTCAGCAGCGAGCAGCAGAACTGGGTTTGCCTAAAGATAATTTTTTTAGGGGGATGAGGGCTGTGGGGGAAGGGAAGTTTTGTTTTTTTTTTTCTTCAATAGTGGGAATATGCAAGGCAAAAAATAGAATAGAAAGCTGATGTCTTAGTGTCATAGCAAGCCTTTCTCTGGAGCTGTTATAAGCCGCAGGGAATTTGGCACCAAAGCCAGTGACCATATGCCTGCTGGGTCTGAGGAAAAGATGTGCCCTGTCCTGCCAGCTCAGAGCTACACAGACATTGCCTTTTGAACCACCAGGCCCTGGGCCTCTTCAGAACGACCCCAACCCCTGCTCTAGGACTGAGCCTCCTGACAGCTCCCCCCAACCAAAGTGCACAGGCCAGTGCAAGGTAGAGCTTTCATAGGCCCAGCTTCACCCCAGGTTTGCAGCTGGGAGCAGAGTACCTAGAAAGGGGCAGGGGCTGGTACTCAGGCAGGACACATCAGGATAGCCATAAGGTTGTTAAACTATTGGAATGTTTCCACATTGGTGGGTAAATTGATGCTCTCCTGAGCCAACTGGGCAA